AGACAGCGTCCCTGATCCTTGATCGTCGACGGATGTCAGAACTCCGGATTCGTTCTCTCATTTGAGTGAAACGTGATAGTCCAAGCATAGCTCTTTCTATTCTTCTTTGGGAGACCTGAATCTGTTTTCTTAGTACCCAGTATTATCTTTGGGAAGTCAAAGTATTTCTGACTCCTGCTTCTGTGTGAATCATTTGGAGGGAAGATGGTAGGATGCCATATGGTGCAAGATGCTGATGCTACTTTATGATAGGGGTTGGATTTGTCCAGCGATGGACACTGGAGAAGGAACTTCTTCCTGGAAAGTCATGTGACAGTGACACAAGTCTTTGAAGGTAAATATTCTTGAATTATTTTTATGGATGATTCTAGTGCTCATTTTTTTAGTCTCTTTTGTAGAACATCTATGATTTCTAGGTAGGACGTACTGGTCTAAGGAATAGAAAACTATTCTTTAATAAATTTATTTTTAGTCTTTTTTCTTCTAATATCTGAAATATTTATTTGGGCTGGAGTGATAGCACAGTGGTGGGGCGTTTGCCTTGCACGCAGTCAACATGGCCGACCCGAGTTCGATTCCTCCACCCCTCTCGGAGAGCCCGGCAAGCTACCGAGAGTATCTCGCCCGCACGGCAGAGCCTGGCAAGCTCCCCGTGACGTATTCGATATGCCAGACACAGTAACAACAAAGTCTCCAATGGAGACGTTACTGGGCCCGCTCGAGCAAATCGACGAACAACGGGAGGGCCTTTACCTTTACCTTACCTTTTATCTGAAATATTTATTTAACCTTATCTTTCGATCCTACTGAGGTTTTTATAATTTTAATTTTTATGAGATTTTAAAAAAGCTTTTTTGCCATCTAAGGATATCTCTTTATATAGTTGTCTTTCCTTATTTTATAGGCATATTTTCTTCTCTTCTTCCTTGGAAATCAGGCATTTTTCAGTTATCTTTTGCAGTTGAGGCTGTTTCCTTCAGATTACTTTTTTCCTAATTGTTTTCATCTCGTCCATGAAATACTGCTGCTATAAACTTCTCTGCCATTTTCTGTGTTTTCATAAGCTTCTCTGACTTCACAAACACACGCTTGCTTTCAGCGGCGTCTCTGAGCTGTCCGGAGGGAGAACGGGTGTCCATGAGCTTCCTGGGCACACTCTGCCCGGGGCTTTAGTGGACGGTGCGAGGCTGCAGTTCTCTGATTTGGAAACTCTTATGTTCACATGTCTTGGGTTTTCTTTTCTTTTTCCCCCATTATACATTTATTATTTTTGTGCATCACTCACTGTCATAGTTTAAAATTATGAACAAAAACACTAATCACCCATGAGCAATCCTTTTATTATTATCCTTTCTTATTGTTGAAGTTATTACAACATCTGAATGGTAACATATCAATATAGACAGGGATCAAAAGAACTGACTGATTACATTTGGAAGGAACCCAAAGATATCAGCTCACTGATGGACCTAGAACATGTCTTCATAAGCTTGTCAAAATGTCTCAGCATGTTTGAGTTTTTTTTTTTTTTTAGGTATATGTTTTTATTAGGGCAATCATTTCCAAGGCCATAAAAATCTTTAAAACATGAGTCGAGTCTTTGTTAGTGATATGAAATAAAATCAACAAATGTAACTATAGTCCATATGATCACGATCACGACCATCCTGTTGTTCGTCGATTGCCTTGAGCAGGCCCCAGTAACGTCTCCTTAGTCCTAGCCCTGAGATTTTTTTCAAAAGTGCCATATTCAAGGCTCTTTCAGGGTAAGGAGAATGAGACCCATTATTGTTACTGGTATTTGGCATATTGGGTACGCCACAGGGAGTTTGCCAGACTCTGCCGGGTGGGCAGGTTACATTCGGTAGCCTGCCAGGTCGTCCAAAGTAGGAATGAGATAATAAGATGTCCGGGAGCTGGTTTTTATAGTCTCTGGGTCTTGGCCGTTGCTGGGATTACACGGCACCAGGGGGCCAGTTGGTGGTTGTGACCCCTGCCTGCTGGAAGGTGGAGGATCTGGGTGGAGGATGCTCAGCCCCGATCCAAGCAGGCTTGGAGATCTCAGACCCGGGACCCGCATGCTTTTGTTCCTCTGCCGGTACCTTCAAGCATGTGGAGAGTGTTCTCAGCATGGTGGTGGCTGGTTCTGGAGGTCTTTGGCTGCCGGAGCCCTGGTCGGGGCGGGGAGGGAAACTCAACCCGCTCCCCTCCAAGGGGCCCGGCGAGGACAGCCAGGCGCATACATTCCAGCATATAAGGCAAGTTTCCTAAAGTTGTTTTAAACTTAGGTATGATTATATTATTTTACAAATTAGAGTGACAAATACTATGAAGGCCAAAATTAATACAAGTAACACAGATGATATTATCCTGCCTCGAGATACATATATTTGAGTTGATATTTAATAAATTCCAGCAGCATCACAAAATAAACTTTAAAGGGCAAAATTTTAAATTTTAGGAAAAGTAGACAAGATGAGTAGATACATGGGAGCAATTTTTTTCCCATAGGAGCAATTTTAAAGTACTGAAAGCACAAAATCATTTCAATATTAGAAATATGTTATCAGAATGAAAATGAATATGACTATTTCCTCACGTGGTAAGAACATTAGAAAGAGGTGACTTTAAAAATGCAGAGACAGTGAATTAACTTACCACTTTCTTCAAATAAAAGAATCGCTTGAAAAATTCAAGCACTATTAGCAGACACATTTTATGGCAGTAAATGAAATGCTTTGTGTTTCTGTGGAAAACTATTTCAACAGTGAAAATGATGTGGGGATCAGAAACATATTATCCTGGGACACTAGGACACTCTCCCGATCAGCTGCCACTACTCTACGATCCTCATGAGACTGATGTCTCCCCGTGACATGACTATCTGCACTCTCATTCCACCAAAGAACATAAACTCGGTTAAGTGATCCATGGAAAACACCAACTAGTTTTGAGTAGCCTAGATTGACATGGGCATCGACTGCCCGTTTTAATGGACCACCCCAGAGAGCTGGCCCACCTGGTTTCATCTGAAAAGTAACCAATTCATAAACCATTTCATAAACTCCTTCTTCAGGAGGTTTTTCTAATTTGCACCATGGTACCAGGTACGTGATCTCGCCCTCTTGTTTATCCATTAGAGCCAAACTTGGAATGAGAAACTGCTCCTGCCACTTCTTATCTTTGGCCAATGCCTTCCTAACTTCAGTTCGGTGAGCCAAATTATCGTATTTCCAAATACGAAAAACTTGAGTCAGTCCGCCTCCAAATTCGACAGTCCAATACCCAACCAATTCAGAGTGAGTAGTCCGAAGGTGAGCATTATTCTTAAAATTTTCCAAGAACTCATTCATCCTTGGGGTTTGATATAATAGGTACGAAATTCATAGCATGTTCCATCATACTGTCTGAGGCCCGCAGCAAAAGATGAGCATACCTGTAGGGTCAGGGGCGTTCAGGCAGCCAGAGCCCTCGCCATGCGTTGCACGGCGAGCATGACGCGGCCGTCAGGGAGTCGCTGTGGGGATTCTCGGCACCACGGACGGGCCGTGTGTGAACCTGTAGACTCGGACTTCAGGCATGGCAGCGGATCTGCCCTGGGAGGTCGTGGGGTCAGCGTGGGCTCTGGTGCCAGGCACATTGTTGGAAAGGTGGACTGAACCGTCCGTCCCCACGCTTGCCCCTAGCTCTAACCCCCATAGTATGTTTGAGTTTTTTTTTAAACTAATCAGTCATCTAATGCAATTTCCTTCTTTCAGCTTAATCATATTATAATCCTCGTGTTCCACGTCTTTACACTATGTCTTGGGTTTTCTTCTTGAGCTGGATAGGTCAGATCTTCCCTCTCTTACGTTGTGGGGGAAGCCGGCGGTGTGTGCCACATTCCAGTCGCACCTGGTCACACTGTGTGCTCCCAAGGTGCAGAGCGGGCAGTGGAGAGAGTCCAGAGGGCTGGAGGCCAGGCAGGATCTCCCCACACTCGGCTTGGGACTTTGGGTGCCATGGGGGGGGGGCGGGGGGAGGAGAGAGAGTTCCCTTTTTTCACTTAAAGCTCGGAAGTAACTATTGTAGAGAACTCTGCAAACAGTTCCCCCAGATGAACACCATTTTCTTTTCTTTTTTTTTCTTTTATTTAATTTTTATTAGTGAGACACCATGAGATACAGCTGTAGACTTACAAATTTTGGTGCTTGGGTTTCAGTTATACAATGATCGAATACCCATCCCTCCACCAGTGCCCATTTCCCACCACCACGGATCCCAGTATCCCTCCCACCCCCCATCCCCCCCCATCCCACCCTGCCTCTGTGGCAGGGCATTCCCTTTTGTTCTCTCTCTCCTTTTGGGTGTTGTGGTTTGCAAAAGAGGCAATGGGTGACAATCATGTTTGGTCTATAGTCTACTTTCAGCATGCTTCTCCCATCCTGGGAGGATCCTCCCAACACCCTTTATTTGGTGCTCCCTTCTCTATTTGAGCTCCCTTTTCCCCTAGCGTATGTGGCTGGCCTCCAAGCCATGGAGCGAAATTCCTGGTACTTATCTTGGCCATTCTTGGGGGGGACACCATTTTCTTGCTAGTGAAGATTCCTTGTGTTATTCCGCAACACGGGTGTGTGGCACATTTCAGCAGTTAATGCCATCCTTCTCCAATGTTTAAATACTAAGCTAAAAAGCTCCTGGTTCCTCTCGGGACCCCTGGCCTGCATGTCACAGCGACACAGGCAGAAGGCAGTGTCTCTGAAGGACACTTCAAATGGCGAACTTTCAGTGAAGTCACCCATTCGCGGCTCAGTGACAGAGCCCGTATATTATTGTCCTTTTCCAACTTAATAAGAACAAAAGGCCGTGGCCGGACCAATTAGTCAGCTATGATGAGACTGGATGACATTTTTACTCCTGAACTTTTCTGGTATAAAAGTGTCCCTCGAGGAGGGTCTGCCTGTCACCGGGAGGAGTTCGGCAATCAAACGGTCGTCTGTGGAGATTTGCCAAAGTCCAGAATGATGAGGTGAGAGGCGACATTGTCCCGCAGAAAATGTGGACTCTCTGTGCACTTGATCATTTCTGTGCTCCTGAACGAGGCTGATCCAAGTCTTTCTCTTCCTTTGCAGGTCCCCGAAATTCCATCTCCTCCTCATCCTGTCCCTCTCCATGGCGTCCGTGCTCCGTGGCTCCCCTGTCCCTCCTCCGAAGGTAAGAGTCCTTCCCCCATGCTGGGTGCTTGTCTGTCTAGCGGCTGGCAGCACGGAGCATGAGCTCCGAAAGCGCCTCCAGGAATATGAGAGAGGGAAGTAATTTCCCTTTTATTTGAGTTTTCAATGAAAATAAGTACAAGGAGACATGAAATTAGTACAAAGAAGCATTTCTGGGGCAACAGATAACACTGGGCTCGGTGAGCATTTGTTTGGCTTCATCAGGAGTTAGCCTCTGCTTAGGAAAATATTCATTTCAATGCAAATTGCTTTGCCCCTGGTAATTTATTCATTCTACATGTATCCACTATAATAAAAGTAGATATTTAACCATTGAGAGTCTATTAAAAATTCAGCAGATCATTTTTTTTTTCAGAAGCGGTCGATTCCTAATTTTGCAAAAATGGTAACATTTTCAGATCTGGGATATAGGTATTTAGATCTCAGTGAAATATCCCATAAAATATTAATTCATATATTTATTTAAAAATTGATTGAGCGCCTAACTCTATTTTTAAAGCAGCTTAAAGAGATTCGGAAAATGAATGTCTTTCCTTGGAGTTTTTAACACTAGTTTTGGGCAAATTTCGGTTGTCTTGGGGCAATCTCCCCTTAAAGTTGCTACATCTCTTGCCATTTGGGGCTTTCTTGTACTTTAACTTGGATTCCCTGCATTGGACCTGGAATTCTGTAGTGACTCAAATCAATATCATTTATGACACCGAGTGGAGGACCTCAGAGGCTACATGCACCCCACATACACCCCACATACTAAGCACCTAAGGTTTCAAAGCAAACAAGATTCCCGCTTCCACGCTTCTCCTCGGTCATCGCGACATCCATCATTCTCTTCCGTGTTTACTTAATACGGCTTCTCTCTTCCCACCTCGCTCCCGTGAGCAGCCAGCAGTGACTTACTCATTGATCCTGCGAGACAGCACATTGATCACGATGACGAGTGGGCCTCGTCCGTGAATCCGAATGTTTTCTCAGGCGCCTTCCTAATGACGCTGGGTCGTCTCCCTGCAACTCGCCCCTGACATCTCTGTGAGAGAGGCGAGCGTGTGCAGTTTGAGAGAGAACGTTCTCTCTGCTCGTGCCCGTTCGGGAGCTGCTCATGCACAAACGAAATGGGTTTTCTTTGTTTCACCGAGTTGTCCGGATTTCTTGGCCTGTTCAGTTCGGCTTCCCTTATCACTGGGTCTCGCGGGAACGGTGCCGAGTGGACTGTTTTGGGGTGAATGATGGTGCTGACCAAAGACAGAGGGGCTTCTGTGACGCTCGTGCCAACTTTGCTGGGCTCACCAGGTGAATAGCTCAAGCCGCTCTGTGCGCGGGCCTGCGGCGAGGTTGTCCTGACTCTGTTGGCCGAGTTTCTCGGCACCATTTCAGGGATGTGGGGGGACACTCTCGGGGCTCTCATCATTAGAACTGATGCTTTCCTCCCCGCTACAAGGAGGCTCATGAGTATTTCTGGAAAGAGCTGGAAAGCGTCTCTTCCTGAAATGACTCACAGGCCCCCTGCTTGCTGGGGGTTTTAAAATAGATGGCATTATACCACACTGAGATTTCCTCTGTTAATTCAGGAAAAAACTCGCGCTGGGGGTTCAAATCAGAGGTTTGGATTAGGCTTCCCACGACCAATATTTTTGAAACTCTCTTGACTCTGCTCAAATTCCAAGTCAAGAGGTATGAAATGTGCTTTTTCCCCCTGGGCGGGGTCGTGGGGAGGGATGGTTTTCCTTTTCCTGGGGGGATCTCTGAGTGTCCTCTGGAGATGCCGGTGGGCTCGGCAGCCTTTTGGCCCATCTTGCCGCCCACATGTCCAGAAGCCCTGGGACAAGGATACGTAGTTTCCCTGGCAGTTTGAGTCTATCTGTGAGGACACGAGTGGTCACACGTTCCTGGGAGCTTCTGTAGGGCTTCACGGCCCTATGCTGGGACTCAAACCCCCGCTTCCCCGAGGAGCAATTCATTTCCTGGCTCGCAGGAAGTGACCACCTGCCTCCCATAGTTTTGCCCTGCCCACATGGCGTGGCACATACCAGGTAACCCACCTTGCTTCCTTCCTGAGAGTGATGGAAGATGCCCTGCTGGCACCTGGGGCCGTCCAGGCTGCTGCCCTGGGCCTTGTTGGATTGCCGGTCACTGAGGTCATCGTGGACTTTCACATTCCACCCTTGGTTCCTTCTCAGCTCAGAGCCCCTTCACGACCCTACACCGGCCAGGCCTTGAGCCACCAAGAGACTCAGAGTCCCACCAAAACACCCAAGACTGAAGGTGAAATCGCCACCCCCCACCACCATCCCCGCCCCCGGAGAACATGACCAATGGCCTGCCCAGGGCCTGAAGGAAGGATTCCACCTACATCTCGGTGGCCACTGGTTGTTTGACTTCTTGAATTTTTAAAACAAGTCCCAGGACTCCTTTGGGACCCTTGAAATATTCTTTATAAAGAAGGTCGCTGTGTCTAGGGTCAGATGCAAATACAGTGTCACGACTGGTGTAAAATCGGATGTCAGGTGTCAGAGCGTTTGATATTTAAAGTATATTTAGTGTTTTCACAAACTTCTCTCTTGAAAAAAAAAAAAAAGATTGGCTAAGCTGGATTTATTGCCAGAAGAGTCTGAAAATCGCTCCTGTTGAAATAAGCTTCCCTCCTAACGCTGTGCTTTCTCTCCTGCCCACCGCGGCCCCAGGGAGCTGGAAAATCCGATTGTTTTCTCCTCCTGTCGAGCTTCTGCCCACCCCGGCCGGCCCCGGGAGACACGCTCGATTTTCTGAAGCCCGCTTTGGAGAAGATGCTGATGAAAAGGTCTTTCCGCAACGGGGTTGGCATGGGGATGAAAAAAACTTCCTTTCAAAGAGCAAAATCATGACCAAGTGTGCAAAGAACGCTGGGAACGGATCCCGGCGAGAGCCCGACTTTCGCCCGCGGAGGGTCCCTCTGCCTCGCGCAGAGCTCCGGTTTGGGTGCGTGAATGTTTGAGCTCTCGTGACCACACGGAGAAAATCAAGCTGTTGTTGTTTTTCTTTTTCAATGTAAATCTGTCCCCCAAATACCACCATGAAAAGTAAACTGCTTGTGTGATCGATGCGTCAGCTTCCTGAGCTAGGAGGGACACGTTTGCTTTGACCTTAACTTGGACAGCGAGAGGGTGTTAGACCAGCGACAAGGGTCGGGTTGTGCCCTGCCTGTGTGGTTGTCGCAGCGGGCTGCTTTACTTCCTGGACTCTTCTGAAGTGACTTAGCAGGACTGACCGGGGTGGGCACATGTTCCTCCAGCCCAGGAAGATGAGTGGGGTGATTCAGGGCTTACCATCTCTCCTGCAGCCGGTCCAGAGGCCAGACACACACTGATTCTGACCCTCTTAATTAAATTAATCTGCATTTAAATTGTAAAACACACACACACACACACACACACACACACACACACAAGCTGCCTGAACAAGAACAGTTCACAAGAACAGCCAGAACACAAGAGATGGACCAGAGGCCGCATGGTCATATGTGTGTGTGTGTGTGTGTGTGTGTGTGTGTGTGTGTGTGTACACGTGTGTGCGTGCTTCTGTGTGTCTTTTTAAGCCGATCCTCAGTGTTCTGAACCAGGTGCTTAATTCCTGCCCCCACCGCCCACCCCGTTCTGGTGAAATGCCTGACATTGCCGTTTTGAAATGCTAATACCACACGAGGAGACGGATCGGTCATAAAGACGGACGTGTGGGATTGATTCTGCGGCTCGTGGGGGCTGCGAACCCGGAACAGCCCACTTTGCACTGGGCGTTGCCCTCACAGGCCAGGAAAGGCCTGCTAAGTGTCCATCTTGCCCTTTGCCCCTCTGTCCTGGAGAAGCCCACCTTGTCTTCCGGGGGCAGGTCTAGAGATCTGAGCCATCAGCCAATAGTGACTCCCCTCTCCGCCCCTCCAATCCAATACTGGACTCCCCTGGGAGCTCCTGGGAATGCAAAGGAAGAATCCACGTCTTTGTCACTGCGGCAGGCGGCTTCTCGGAGAGCCGAGAGCGTTTCTCCTGTGCCGCAGAGACGCACAGGCCTGTGTCTGGGAGACTGGGGGTCTTGGACTTGCCATCTGCCCAGCTAATTAGCCAGCTCACTGGGTGTTATTTACCCCTGCAAGCAGGGGGGCGGGTCCCGGATTACTAAACTGGTGTGGGTGTTGGGTAGCATCTTACAGCGGGCAGAGAAAAGATGGTGATTGCGAGCGAATCTTCCTCATTCCCTATTTGCATTTATATAGAAGTTTAGAATAATAAAACACCAAAAACATAATTAGAGAAACTCTCTTCCCGTTGCTGGATCTCCAATACCACTCTCGCCCTGGGGAAAAAGCCCAGGAAAATGTATTTGCCTCTGGGGCTTGGAGTGATAGCACAGCAGGGAGGGTGTTTGCCTTGCACTCGGCCGACCCTGTTCGATTCCCAGCATCCCATAGGGTCCCCCGAGCACTGCCAGGAGTAATTCCTGAGTGCATGAGCCAGGAGTAACCCCTGTGCATTGCTGGGTGTGACCCAAAAAGAAAAAAAGAATTGCCTCTAAACACTGTGGCTGACAAAATGCAGGAGCGCAGAGAAATTCCTTTCCGGGAGAAAGAGAGTTGAAGCCGCACTCAGGTTTGGGGACCGGAGTCACCCCAAAAAACGGTGCGTCTCTCGCAAGGTCAGATCGGCAGGAGAGACGTGGGCGCGGGCGGACCTTGCACGGCTTTGGGAATGTGAACCCCCACAGTGGTACCAAGTGGGGTCCCCAGGATAGAGAGCGAAAGGGCACGTGGGCTGTTCCACGTGGGACCCGGGGGTGCCATGAGGTGGCCAGAGCTTTGCTGGGGCTATCGTCACCTTTCTCTGCGTCTTCTGAGGCAGCCGGCACAGAGAGGCGACAGGAGGGACCCCACTGCTAGTGGCCCTTACCCGCCTCCTTGTCATCACTGTGATGGAAGCCTGGGCCTCACCTTCCCAGGCGCCACTGCTGGGCAAGATGTGGGTGACGATGCCAGAATGAAAGTGTCCCCAGCCCTCCCGGACGCCTCTGCTCCACCATCCCCGCTGGTCTCTGGTCCTGAGCCGAGGAGGCACCATTGGGGCGGGGAGTGGGAAGGACCCCATGAGGACCAGGGCCCCTAGGAGAGAGAAAACTGGGAGGGAGGGAGGGAGGGAGAGAGGGAGGGAGGGAGGGAGGGAGGCACCAAACCAGGGTGGTGGCTGGATGTCCAATCGCCCGGCTCTGTGAACACAGAGGTGTGACCTCGCTGATGGGAGTCCCTGCGCAGGGCCCAGCCCCTCTCCCCTCCCTCCTCTGCCCTCTCCCCTCCCCCCTGCCTCCTCTCAGCCCCTCCCCCGCTCACACACACACAGGGAAGCATAGCAGGGGTGTCCCATGGCCCTCCCTGGAGTGTGGCCGTGCGTCTCTGGAGAGGGTCCTACCGGGCACAGGGCGGCTGGAGAGACGAGGGCTCGGGTGACAGCTGCCACAGTGCCCCCGGGAGGAAGGAGGGGCAGGGAAGAGCCCCTGGTGCTGGGCCATCGTCCCCCCCACCACCACCACTCAGGGGCCACAGACCGTGCCTGGGCTCGGTCTGTGGCACCCACTGGGCCACCCACTGGGCCACCTCACAGGGGCCATCGGCTCGTCGCCCTGGGGCCTCGTGTTCCTGATGGTGCCAGTCACGCCCGTGCTCACGTCCTGTCTCTCTGTCTCTGTCTCTCTGCGCGCTCTCTGTCTCTCCCTCCCCCTCCCTGTGTCTCTCTGCCTCTCTCTGTCTCTCCCCCGTGTGTCTCTGCCTCTCCGGTCTCTGTTTCTCCCGATGTGACTTTGCCTCTGTCTCTTTCTTTCCCATGTCTGTCTCTGTCTCCCTCTCCCCTGTAGGTCTGTCTCTGTGTGTCTTTCATTCTCTCTCTCTCTCTCTCCCCCCCCCACTATGTGTCTCTGTCTCTCTGTTTCTGTCTCCCCATGTGCTTCTGTCTCTCTCTGCCTCTCTTGTCTCTGTCCTCAATCTCTGTCTTTGTGCCTAGAAACCAGCTCACACTGTCCATTCTCCCCTCATTGCGATGATCCACACTGGTCTTCAGCGACTTCAGCGGGTCCCTGACCCACAGTATAAGGCCCCTGTCCCCTCAGTGGCCTTGACCCCAGGTCCTCAGGCCACTATCCCATCAGTGCCCCTGACCCAGGCTCCCCAGCGGCTGTTGGTGGCACCGAGGGCCATGTGACCCCAGAGCCTGACTCCCAGGGGACACAGTTCCATGCTGAGTGCTGTAGAGAGAACCCAGAGTCTAGTTCCAGGGCTTCAGGGCCCCTCTGGAAGCCCAGCAGCCTATCCACCAGAGCCAGAAGCTCAGAAGCTTCTGGAAAAGGTTTGCTATGTGCGTCACCAGAACTTCTCCTGTGCTGGCATCTGGGCTGTGGATGGGGCCAGGGCCATCCAGGCAGGGTCAGTGTGGATGGTGCCGAGACCATGCACCCGGGCTCCCCTGCAGAGCTGGGCCACACTCTGGGCCACGCTGGGTTCCTCTTCATTCCCGTTGGTTCCAGCGAATGTGGCCAGCACCTGCCCAGAAGGCCGAGGGCTCCTTCATTCTCCAGGTTGTCCCTCGGGGCGAGGCCGGCACCTCTGTCCTGGGCCCATATGCACTGGAGACTGACAGTGGAGACAAAATGTCCGGAGCCCACTAGAACTCATGAGGTGGCCAGCCAGTCCGCATGCGCCCCAGCCCCATAACTGCAGAAAGACAATGAGATGCCTCCAAGGCAGGTGTCCACGCCCCACTGCACAGATATGCCGCAGGTGCATGGTTGAACCCAGGGGTACTAGCTGGGGTGGGTGGCAGAGTCCAGGCAGAGGCGCCCGGGCAGGGGTGCTCTCCCTTCTCGCGGGGCCCCTCCTGCTGCTGGGGTGGACAGGCGCTTCTCAGCAGGCAGGCTGGTCGGGTTGGAGACGGAGGGCGAGGGTCTTTCTCGACTAGCCAAAAGGATCGAGGATGTGTTTGGAGTTTCCGGGATGTTCCTCGTGGTGGTGAGCATTCCCATGACTGGACGGAGAAGCCATCAGAACATGACCGGGCCCGCAGGGGAATTCTGCAAAGGCCCTGCTGGACCTGGGCGAGCATGATGGGCGAGCATGATGGACGTGGCCAGAGCCTTCCTGGGGACTGGAGATGGAGCACGGCCAGCTCTGGCAGAGTGCAAGGCTCAGTCTTGGGAGCTCCGCGAGTTGCTCTGGGTGCCATGGACTGGAGACTTTGCATCCTTGGACCGTTGGCAGCGATGGCACGGCCAGAGGGCCACAGGAGCTGAGCTCCGGCAGAAACAAGCCGGATGCATGAAAGAGTGATGGGGTCAGTGGGACCCCGAGTGCAGCTCAGGACCGGCGCCTTGTCTTCTCTCTCCCAGCTCCCCTGGACCTCAGGAACTGGGGCAGCATGTGGGCTGGACCAGGAGATCTACCAACATAGACTTTGGGTGCAGATGGAGCTGAGTGCCAGCAGCACCCGCTTTGTGACACACCCCAGCACTTCCCTCCCCTGAAAATGGCTCCCCATGACCTCACTCAGAGCTCAGGGACCCCCCAAACACACACACACATCCAGTCTACCATCTACGACAGGGGTATGTATGTGGCAGCTGGTGCCCCAAACATCCCAGCTAACACGGCCTAGAAAACCAGCCACCTGCATCCCCCCAGAAGTGAAATTAGTCAGGAATTAAGGCAGGAACCATCTGGTGAGCATGGAATCAGCAACTGGCCCTTATTCCGAGTGCTAAGCGTGTAGAGGTTTATGAGGCTGAGTCTGGGGAAATTTTGCTCGCTTCCTGATGGTCAATGCAGTAGACATATCCTCCAATGGAGAGGCACCAATGAGGAGAGCAAATGGATGTGACCCAAGGATCGT